CCATTTAAATCTCTTTTTCTTCCCAACCTTGGATGTGTCTTTATCAGCTTCATGAAAACAGACTAATACAGTAAATTGGTGCCAGTGGAGTGGGCATTGCTGAAAAGCTACCCAAAAATGTGAAAGCAACTTCGGAACTGGGTAACAGGCAGAGATTGGAACAGGTTGAAGGACTTAGAAGAAGACATGAAAGTGTGGGAAAGTTCGGAACTTCCTAGAGACTTGTTGAATGGCTTTGTCCAAAATGCTGATAGCACTATGGACAATAAAATCCAGCCTGAGATGGTCTCAGATGGAGATGAAGAACTCGTTAGGAACTGGAGTAAAGGTGACTCTTGTTATGTTTCAGCAAAGAGACTGGTGGCATTTTGCCCTTGCCCTAGAGGTATGTGGAACTTTGAACTTGAGAGAGATGATTTAGGATATCTGGTGGAAAAAAATTTTAAGCAGTGAAACATTAAAGAGTTGACTTGGGTGCTGTTAAAGGCATCTAGTTTTATAAGGGAAACAGAGCATAAAAGTTTGGAAAATTTGCAGCCTAAGTATGTGATAGAAAGGAAAAACAAAACAAAAGAAAACGTTTTCTCGGGAGACATTCAAGCCAGCTGCAGAAATTTGTGTAAGTAGAAAGGAGCCTAATATTAATCCCTAAGACCATGGGGAAAATATCCCCAGGCCGTGTCAAGGACCTTCATGGCAGTGCTCCCCATCACACCCCCAGAGGCCTAGGAGGAAAAAGTGGTTCTGTGGGCCAAGCCCTGGGTCTTTGTGCTGTGGGCAGCCAAGGAACTTGGTGCCCTGTGTCCTAGCTGCTCTAGCCGTGGCTGAAAGGGGCCAATGTACAGCTCAGGCTGTGACTTCAGAGGGTGCAAGCCCCAAGCCTTGGCAGCTTCCATGTGCTATTAAGCCTGCAAATGCACAGAAGTCAAGAATCGAGGTTTGGAAACCTCCGTCTGAATTTCAGAAGATGTATGGAAACACCTGGACACCCAGGCAAAACTTTGCTGCGAGGGCAGGGTCCCCAAGCAGAACCTCTGCTGGTGCAGTGAGGAAAGGAAATGTGGGATTGGCACCCCCACACAGAGCCCCGACTGGGGCACTGCCTAGTGGAGCTGTGAGAAGAGGGTCACCATTCTCCAGACCCCAGAATGGTAGATACACCAGCATCTTGCACAGTGTGCCTGGAAAAGTTGCAGACACTCAATGCCAGCCCATGAAAGTAGCCAGGAGGGAGGCTATACCCTGCAAAGCTGCAGGGGCAGAGCTGCCCAAGACCATGGACATTAAGTATGACTTGGATGTGAGACATGGAGTCAAAGGAGATCATTCTGGAGCTTTAAAATTTGACTGCCCCACTGGGTTTTGGACTTGCATGGGGCCTGTAACTCCTCTGATTTAGCCAATTTCTCTCATTTGGAACAGCTGTATTTACCTAATACCCACACCCCCATTGTATCTAGGAAGTAACTAGCTTGCTTTTGATTTTATAGGCTCATAGGTGAAACGGACTTGCCTTGTCTCAGATGAGACTTTGGACTGTAGACTTTTGGGTTAATGCTGAAATGAGCTAAGACTTTAGGGGACTGTTGGGAAGGCATAATTGGTTTTGAAATGTGAGGACATGAGATTTGGAGGGCCAGAGGTGGAATGATATGGTTTGGCTGTGTCCCATCCAAATCACAACTTGAAATGTATCTCCCAGAATTCCCACATGTTGTAGGGGGAACCCAGGGGAAGGTAATTGAATTGTGGGGCCAGACTTTCCCATGCTATTTTTGTGATGATGAGTAAGTCTCACGAGATTTGAAGGGTTCCTCAGGGGTTTCCGCTTTTGCGTCTTCCTCATTTTCTCTTACCACCACCATGTAAGAAGTGCCTTTTGCCTCTTGCCATGATCCTGAGGCCTCTCAGCCACGTGGCATTATAAGTCCAATTAAACCTCTTTTTATTCCCTGTCTCAGATATGTCACAAGAGCAGGGTGGTAGTTCTTAAAACTGCACCCTGGTGAGGCCAAAGACTCACACTTGACAATGCCTTGCAAAAATACCTTCACTATAATGACAGGACAAAAGAAGGGCACTTGGTAACGGTTTAGTAAGGAATTGATATGGAAAGAAAATATTTCCTTCATGACTACAACCATGGTGAGCACAAACCAGAAATCTTTAAGCAAAATTCAGTGACAACAAGAAAGAAGGAAGGAAATGGGGCTTTTGGAGATGTGAATGATCCATCCGAAGCCATCATTTTTAAGGACAGCTTGTTAAGTGACACCATTGTTATTGAAATCAGTTGAGTGAGTGATTCTGTTATTTGCAGCCAAAAAAAAAAAAAAAAAAAAAGATTTAAAACCATGCAGCCCATGTGTAGAATTTAGTCTCTAGCAAACAACGGAGAGCTGCTAAAGTGTTTTAGAAAAAGTATAATATTGTGAGATGTGGGTTAAAGAAAAACATGCTCCCGGGTATGGAGATTGGGTTGTAGGGATTTAAGAACCGGATGCAGGGGTAGGGAGACATGTATTAAAGAGGACCGGTTGTGAAGGGGCAGATTAGGAGGTAGATCTTGGATATGTTAAGTGGAAGCTGCCTTTAAGTTTTCTTAGTGGACAGGCCAAGGAGTTAGTGAAATATTTGCATCTGGAACTTAGAAATGAAATCCAGGCTGGAGAGAGATTATGTGTCATGAGGGAGAAAGAGAGAGAGAGAGAGAAAAAGAGAGAGAGAGAGAGTTACTGAAGTCATGGATGTGGATAGATGGGCCTGTGGTTAATCCTTGAGGAACTTTCATACTTAATGGCAAGGTAGATGGTGTGTCCTCAAAGGAAATAGAATGAAAGGCAATGTAGAGGACCTGAACACCCATAGACTTAAAGCAAGTCCGTGGATTTCCACTTTAGAACCCATGGGAGAGAGAACGGGACTTGATGATTCCTCAGAATTCTAATTCTGAAATACTTGCTTCTTAGATGATTCTGATTGTTCCACATTGTGATATCAATGATAAAACCATTGAATTGTTTTTTGACTCCTGCCAATCGCAAATAATCCCTTCTGCCTTTGAACTCATATTGCATATTATGTACATAAGATTAATATGCCATTCGTCTTATGGCATATTCTACCTTGTAATGTGCTTATGTGTAAATATGTCTCATTTATCCTATATGTTCTTAGAGGCCAGGAATTAGGTCTTATTTATTTCTCTGCCTCTTTTCCCAGACTACTCTCCTTAATTGGCAAAGTGTTTTTGTATGCTCTTGGAAATTAATACATTCTTTGGTGAATGAGTGCTTGGTAAGTAAATAAAAATACTTAGTGAAATTGTTAAAAACTTTCTTATGTTGAATTCTTGAATGTAAACTAGAACATCTGATTGAACTCCAAGGTAAATAAAAAGCCTACCCTGAAGTGATCTAAAGGTCACAGAACATGCCCCTGAAGTTCCCCAAGTTCCCCACCTGGTGAAAGTCCAGGTGTCTGTGTCAGGTTGTAAGGTTACTTACTACTAATCACTAACTTCCATATTTCTGATTAAATTTAATGATTAAAGCACACAGAAGATAAAATGGTCCTTATTCAAATCACGCATTCTTATGCCCCCAGAGTTGATCACTTTCCTATCATCTATAGATGTCCTGACTGACAGTGGTTTGACTTAATGATTTTTTAAAGAACGATATGCATTCAGTAGAAACTGTATTTTGAGTAGCCATACAATCATTCTGCTTTTTGCTTTTAGTACAGTAGTCAATTAATTACATGAGCTATTCGACATTTTATTACAAAATGGCCTTTACATTAGATGATTTTGACCAACTGTAGGTATTTAAAGTAGGCTAGGCTAAACTATGATTAGGATAAGTATATTAAATGCATATTCATCTTATGATATTTTCCATTTATGATGACCTTATTGGGAATTGAGGAGCATCTGTACTGCCAAATTGCATGCTTCTTTGGCTGAGGAATAAAACAATGTTGCAGTTGGCCAAAGCAGGCTCCAAATATGGGTCTGACATCAGAGGCTCATATAGTCTTGAAGATAGCAAATATTATCAGCTTGATCTTACTACAGTACTGTTCTGTGACTGTTTTTTAACTATCCATCCAAAACAACACATTTAACATTCAGCTAAATTAATTACAAATCCAAGAGTTGGCAAACAATTGATACATTATTCCTTTGGGCCAATTAAATAAAGCACAGAATGGAAGACAAAGACTAAATTTATTGAAACCCATTTGCTGGGCTTTTTAATATACCTATTTCTTTTAATAAGAGTATAAATATATGTGTATACATGCTTTTTGGTTTTGCCTACATATCCCTAAGTAATTAGAATTTGAATATTATTTGACTATTTATAGTCATTAATTTAAGGTTAGAAAAAAATTAAATTAAATGATTTAAAATCCCAGGTTTTTAAGAAATTTAGATTGGCTCTTCTGATTTTACATATTCAACAGTCCCTCAAAATTCCCTTTCTTAAGCCAGCAACCATTAAGTTACTCTTAAACCCACACTAAGTACTGTTTAACACAGGGGACAGCCAGCCAGATAGGTCTGGTTTTTAGTATCAGTAGTGTCTTTGTTGTGGAGAGATGTCAGTTCCCAAATTCTCACTACACTGTACAGACCTGTGTACCTCAGGCAACTTTATAGCTCAAACCCCATTCCTTGGGGACTTATAGCAACTTGTAAATCCATGAGGAATTTTTCAGCAAAGTTCTATTTCTTAGTTTATTCATGGATTAGGCTTGTAAGAGTAGATTCATTCTAAGCCTCTAATGAGCAGGGTTTTTTTTTTTTTTTTTTCACACTGGAAAGAACACTTGCTTCTCTTTTTCCAGCATTCAGCTTATGATGGTTTTAGAATTTATGTTCTCAGTTATATCCCCCATTGACTTTGAAATCTTAGAAAATACACACCACGCTTCTTTCCAGGATCCAGCACCATTCAAAGCTTTTCTTTATATAGCATTAAAATGATTTCACATGAGTTTTTTGGTATGCTTTACTTCTAAGATCATTGGTTCTGCTCTTCCAACCATCCAGAGGTCAAGACAGCAGTTGAATAACTGAGCAATGTCTGTTATTAGGAGCGATGAAGATAAGAGGATTTTCATGCTAAGTTTCTCAGATTAGGCTGGAGATACATTCTTTATTCTTTTAATGGAAAAACTTGAGTTACTTTTTTTTCTTTTAAAAAAACTAATAGATGCCTTCAGAAAAATGTCCATAAGAACAAGCTGGGATGCGCTAAAGGCTTCATTGACCACTCGGCTGAATACGCCAGCATCATGTCTCTGACTGGTTGGGTCATTTCATTTCATTGACTTCTATGGGGCTATCAGTTTATGGGCTTTTTTATTGTATACTCAAAGCTGACTTTTTTTTGTCTTCAATACTTGCTAATTTCTGTTCCATTATTTCCAAGCTTCATCCCTTTCTGTTTTACCTCAGTACAAATGAATTTCAAGGATACCTTCTTTTTGGACCATAGGACATAAACTCTCTTAGCTGAAAGGTCTCTTAGACTTCCCCAAGTACCATGTTCTCATTTTACAGATGAGAAAATGTAGGCACAGAGAAGGGAAGGGAATTGTCTTAGTTCCTAGGTCTTTGGAGTACTGATTCCATTACCTGCAAAAAAAGGCAGTACAATATGAAGTAGAGATTAGAAAAAAGGCACATGTCTGATCAGTTCATCCCACCACTGGATGAGCCTGTATTAGTTTTCTATGCTACATGACAAATCATCACAAACATAGCCTCTAAAAACAATGTATGTTTACTATCCCACAATGTCTGTGGGTCAGCAATCTGATCAAGGCTTAGGTGGAGTCTCTGAATTCAGGCTGCAATAATTAAAGTATCAGCCAGGCTGTGTTCTCATCTGAAGGCCTGACTGGAGAAGTTTACACTTCCAAGCTCCTTCAGGTTATGGCAGCATTTATATCCTGTGGCTATAAAACTGCAGGATCCAGCTTCCTTCTGGCTGCAGACTAGAGGCCATTTTCAGCTCCTAGACATCTTCCTCACTTCCTTGCTATCTGTACCTCCTAATGTTCCCACTTACTTCTTTAAAGCTACAAGGGAGAAAGTATCTAGCAAGATGGAGTCTTATAATGATGGTGGAATCACCTTATAAATCACCTTATAAAATGGTGAATCACCTTTGCCATATTTTATCAGTTAGAAGCAGCCCAAGTAGCACCCAAACTTGAGAAGAGATTATATGGGGGCATAAATACTAGAAGATGAGGATCTTAGGGTCTCTACACCATGATACCAAGCAAGTGATTTAAGTGATTTACGTGGGCTGACAGGTATAAATTTCAGGCAAACAGAATTTTCACTGTGAATTACTATTAATTTGCAAATAAGTTTTTAGTCATGTTTCTCTGGGCTCTATCCACTATGTCATTCATTAATAGTATCCATTTTATCAATGACTCCATGAAGATATAAAAGACACGTTTTTCAAATTTATGGATGAATCAGAATCTCAGCAAATAATTTGGATGACACAATTAGATTCCAATTTTATTTCCTTGCTAATGTAATGGGGATGCTATTTTTGATGTATATTAAAATGATCTTTGCATTTGAACTTACCTGTATGTAACCTTCTTCTTTTCAGCTAGAGTTATCCATTTGCTTTGGAGGAAACTGGAATTATTGCAGTAGAATGCCAAAAAAGGCAAAGCCTATATTTTAAATTTCAAAATGGAAGTTTTGAGCTCACAGACAGTATTCTGAAAGGCAGGCTATGGTGGGAAAGAATCGATTTTCTAAACTTTAGTTCTCAACAACATTTTTGATCACTGAGTTTCAGTTTAAGTAACAGGGAAGAGGGAATTTAGGCATGATGTCACAGAAGCCTCTGCTATTAAGGAATGAAGGTAAGTTTACCCCTTGGGATCCCAGTGGACTGTGGAAAGAAAAAAAATGAGATAGCGAGCGTATGGAGATCAGATGCTAGGGTCCTCAGAAACCTTATTTAAGATCAAAAGTCCAAGGGCTGTGGAAATATCCAGATGGGTACATGGAAATCCAGTCATACTGGGGCTGATTGGCCTTTGTTCTTAGGTGTTGCCTGAAGAAACCTGCAAACTTCTGGAACTGGCCTTGCAAGTGGCTGGGCAGCCATAGTTTCCAACATGTTGTATCAGACAGGTGGAGAGACAGAACTGAGGTACCACTCCCACCCTCCTATGATCTGTCTGTGTCATTCTTGGAATCCCACATGACCCAGGGAGGGTGTGAGGTACTGAGAGAGCTTGGAGTTAAAACAAAGGTTCATAGAGGCAATGTTGAAACTTACCTAAGCCCTGTGATCAATCGGAGGTTAAAAAAAAAACCCTCACACTCTGGTGTTCTGGCAAAGGGCTCACTGCCAAGAACCATCCTTCCCTTTAGGACACAGATAAGACTCACAGATACCCTCTACTTACCTGTGACAAGACCACCCACAGATCCTTCAAATTCCCATCCTTTGCATCATAAATAATTAGCCAAACTGCCTGTGTCTAACTGATAACTGGAACAAGAAACTTGTTCATTGCACTTTGGCTGGGATTCTCTCTGTTCCCCAGGCCTCTGAACTTTATCCCATGATCAGCTTGAAGCAGCATACAGCCCCTCCTAAGAGTAGGCTGCCCTGAGGTAAAATCTTATCTTCTGACCCATCACACCGCCCTTTCATCCCACTTGCCTTGTTCATTTGAGCCTTGTTTACTCCTCTGTGGAAAAGAAAACCTGCCTTTTACCTAACTCTTGAGAGGCTTGTAGAATGTGTAATCACTGTCCTCCCCCTATTACCACAGGATACCTTCCCTACTGCAACAGTGCCTTTACCCCTTTTGCAGTAATTATTTTGAATAAAGTCTCTTCTTACTAATCTCGATTTGCTTTTATTTGACAACAGCATGTGGTGAGTTTGTGACCAGAGGCAAATGGCCAGGACCACTGACTCCAACTGTGGATGCTAGGAGGATGCCCCAAGGCTCAGATGAGGCCCTCTGCACCTCAGGGACAAGATCAGATGAATTGCTCCATGGTATAGGCCAGTGAGGATCAGAGGATGTTGATTAGACTTGGAGCTCCTTTTCCATAGTCATGAGGTCTCATCATTCCCCCCTTCAACCAGTTGATGTTTTGGAGAACAGGGCTGCAGTGCTCCTGAGGACTGACAACTCAGAAGAAATAAATTGTTTCTTCTAGCTTAAAAGTCTGTTTGAATGTGATATTGTTACTGAAAAGTGTGTGTGTGTGTGTGTGTGTGTGTGTGTGTGTGTTACCAGCAAGGACTTATGAGTGTGACTAACTGTTAAAAAATTGACAAAAGCCACATTTTCTTAGTGCAGTTGACAGTAGTGTGTGCAAATTTGCCACCAGCTATACTAGAATTACGAATCAAAGAAAACAAAATAATATTCCACAGCAGTAAATGTAGGATCCTGACTTTGGGTTCAAAAACGTGTAAGTACAGGATGAGAATATTTGGTTTAGGAACGGCACAGCAGTACTTAGGAAGAAAAAATTAGGGGTTGTATTAGTCAGGAAGTGTTTGGTTGCAACTTACAGAAACCCAGCTGGGATTAGGCAAAAGGGCAAAAAGGGGATTTATTGGCTCTCAGAATCCAAGAACAACCAGACTAAGGGAAGGGCAGGGAAGGCTGCTGGGTTTCAGGGACAAATGGGCAAGGGACACAAAAGCCCCGGGCTCCCTCCACTTCTCATCTGGGCTGGCCTCTCTTTGGGTGGCATTCTCTCTTCTGTGTTTTATTCCTTCTAGCTACAGACCATCTTTCTGCATAGGGCAGGATTATGGCCCCTAAATACTTCTGAGTGTCATCTCTTCTAACTTTTGCTAGTGAACTTAGAAGAGGCTGGCTCTTTCAGATACAACCAGACAAGACCTGAGGAAGAATTCTGATAGGAAACCTGGTAAGGGCTCTCCTTGCAGCCAGGGAGATGGAATCATGTCAAAAAATGGTGGTTCTCAAGATAGCCATTTACGTGTGCTTACAGGGAGAGAGGAAAAGGAAGAGCTGTTTGAAATTTTCAAGAAGTAAGAGGAGTTTCTGGATAAATAACTCCATAAGGTGCAAGTATAAGTGGGTGGTCATGGTTAATATGAAGCCGGATACAGGGTGTGCTTTACAGAGACACTGGTACACTGGAGGGTGCGTCTGTGGACATAAAGATTAGGCTGCATCAGGTAGTGCACCTGGGGCTGGGCTTTTGTTTTGGGGGTCATGTTTAGAGGAGATGACGGAGGTTGTTGTGAGAAAAGCAATTGGACTGGTGGGATAATTCAAACTATTCCAAATTATTTGCTAATGCTTCCATCTTGAGGAAACCCTGAAAGAACCAGGAACGTTTAGACGGCAGAGGAGAAGGTCTGGGGACTGTCATCAGTGGCTTGCATTCTTTATGAACTAATATATAGAGGCTTCAGAGCCACAGACTTTCATGCCATATAAAGACATTCTCACCATCGAAATCATCCAGAGTGGATGGGCCTGTATAATGGAACAGTGAGAGAACAATATATGGCAGCACAGGATTCATTTATGCACTCCTTCATCCCTTCATTCATTCAGCAAATATTTATTCATTAACAAATAGACAACATTGGCAAACAGGCAAGTTCTACAAGAGCAGCTCATCACGGTACTCTCTACACCTAGCACAATGTCTAGTATAGACTAGCCCTGTATTGATATTTGCCATGTGAATTGAGAATATATGAATGAATGATGGGGTGTGGCCACTGTGCTGGGTACTGGAAATGACCACAGGACTCTCAAGGAACTGATAATCTAATACCATAGGCAGCTGATCAACCAATGATGATGCCTTGTATGCAGGGCTCTGAGGGACACGTGCACAGCTTGCTTTGAAAGGATGTATATTAGTCCATTTTCATGCTGCTGATAAAGACATGCTTGAGACTGGGTAATTTATAAAGAAAAGAAGGTACAATGGACTCACAGTTCCATGTGGCTGGGAGGTTCACAATCATGGTGCAGTGGCAAGAGAGAATGAGAGCCAAGCAAAAGGGGAAACCCTAATAAAACCATCAAATCTCATGAGACTTATTCACTACCATGAGAACAGTATGGGGGAAACCACCCCCATGATTCAATTATCTCCCACCGGGTTTCTCCCACAACAGGTGGGAATTATGGGAGCTACAATTCAAGATGAGATTTGGGTGGGGACACAGCCAAACTGTTTCAGGTTGGTGTTGGCTAGAATAGCTTTTGCCTTGTGGTGGGTTCTAAGAATATTTTTATTTTTTGTGTGTCCCATATCAGATGAGTGGAAGTCTCTCAGTTTTTCAAGTCTTTGCAGAAAGCAAAACAAAATGAAGTTATAACAATTGCTTCCTACTTACCTAAGAAAATGCTTTTTGCTTGTGATTTCCCCAGGACTATTCTAGGAAAGGAAGACTTGATCTGTGTTTCTAGAGTAGTTAATAATGCATATCTGACATTCACAAAAGCAAACGTGTACTTCCTACTGGAGTTTTCCATTTGCTGAAAACAGGAGAACCAACATGGCTTGCTTAAATTAAATACGGTCACTGTTTGAAGAATCAATCTTGAGGAAGAGAGACAAGAGCCACTAGT